TGAAATCTCAAAAACCGCGACGAATAAGCCTATTCCGAAAGACGAAGACTACACTGCACGAGTTTGAAGACACGATCCACGGAGAATATTTCCAATTCAGTGATCCGAGGATTACACAGCCAGTATAAGCAGAACGGTTCCGACTCCTAAAAACTGTCGTCAAAGCGCACAAGTAGCACAAGGCCTCCTCTGACCAGTGGACTGTGCAGTAGTACGACTCAACCGTTCGCGAATCGATTCATCCAACGTTTCTGCCCATCGTTCACCCGTCTTCGTTTATCTTGCGCACTCTTCTATTTACGCTATCGTTTACTTTGTGCCAGACAAAACACAAAACGCGATGCAATGAGTGAACGGAGGAACTCGCCTATTTTTCATGCTGCATAGTTCGACAATACGGATGTTCCACTATTTCGATTTCTGGTTTGCTTTGTATTCGGGAAAACTAATATCGCTTTTTTATACGCTGCACTCGCATCACCGATGACAAGTGAAGAGGATTAAAAAATGACACTGCAGATACATCAGAATCTTTAGTACGTAATTTTTATCTAGCTCCTCGTGGCAATATGTGGAATATCCTTTATATACTATTATATTTTGCAATATTATTGTTGATCAATCGAATGTTTTTGATAGCGCAGACGTATAGGAAAGAGACAAAAATGTCCAGAAATACAACTCGATTGGCTAGTGTCGATTGTCGCAAAAAATTTCTTGTGCACTTATTTTCATTTTTATTTTATTTATTTATTTATTTTTTGCAAAATAAACCGCAAAATTTATTGAATATTTAAAATAACAGTTAATTCGATATTTTATCATAACTCAGTCAATAGTGTAAACTTATCCCATCGTTATCGATTCAATACCCTTTTCTTTACCCTTGCAAAACATCGCTTTTTAACGAATTTTGTATTTCAATTTTAGCTTGCTTTTTACTCGACTGAACAAAGCCAAAGTGAATAGTGAAAGCAATTTTTCCTTGCTATTCTTTGTACCTATACTTGCTGTTGTGGCTTTGTACCTTCTTTATATCAATAAGAGAAGACATTGATCTTTTTTACTAGCATAGTATACTCGCTCAAAAACAGCGCATATAATCATCGTATTACTAATTTTTACACCTATATTTCTCTTATCTATTTAACTTTATGTTATTTCACAAAAAAAATTTTTTCTCTCCTCCCCTTTTCATACAAAATATAATACACGTGGTTGCGTTAGGGTAGTCGTAAATATTATTAGCTACCAATCTTCCTCAATCAACTTCTGTTCCGCGCGTGCGAAGAAATAAAAAAGAATGAAATAGGATTGTGCTTTTACGACGCAGCAAGGAAAATAGTGCCAGAATATAGGTCACGGCCGAGGCAAATCAATTGGAATTGAATTAGTTCCAAGCAATAAGCTGAAATATGTGTTTTAATTAAAACGATTTGGTCTGTATTCCTAGAAAAAAGAGCGAAAAAAAAGCACATAATTTCTCTAGAATAGCAAATTTCAATAAAAAATCATAATAGATCTGACTTGTTTGACGAAGTTTTATAAAAATTTTATAAAAGTAATCATTGGTATAGTAATTTCAAGATGTGCTTTTGAATAGCAAATATAGTGGTTAATTACACAGTACGTCTCAAAAATAATGAGATTGACAATATATCAATTCAAACACTGATTGTATTGTAAAAGAATCGTTCATTTTATTTAAAATATTTTTTTCGGCATTAATACAGCGTAAAGCACGGTCAATCAAATAGATTTTTAGAAATCCGTTTTCGAAATCGTCTCAAGAATCTTTATTACGATTTGGTCATTGTAGCGAGTTTTTTTCAGCAATATTTTGAATTTTTTGAGATAGAAAATAATTGCGCGCGCGCGCGCGCGTGTGTGTGTGTGTGTGTAAATAGCCAAATCAGATAAATACGGTGAATAATAAATCGTTACTATTTGTTTTTTGGTTAAAAGCTTACGTACGACCACAGTACGATATGCAGGTGTATTATCATACAAAAGAAACCAATTTTCGGCTATCGATATTTGAACAAGGTTTCAAAATAACCAGATAAACGCTCCAAAATAACCAGAAAATAGTTATCGTTCATTTTATCTTCTGGAACGAATTTCCGAAGAACATTGCTCTCGGAATTATAAAAACAAATGAGCATTGTCTCAATTTATGACTTTTATAATAAAATCGCAATTTTTTTAGTGATGCTTAGTTTATAGATCAAGCACATACTAAAAGCACATCGCGTCTCGTCACCTGTTACGATAAAATTTAACGAGTTTGGGGTTTTCGGACTGTTTTAACGATGAACACTCGCGAGAGTGTTTCGCGCATTTTTTGATTCTCTAGTAATGAATGCGGTACAAATCGAGAATAGATCTCCCATTTGTTCAAATTGTAACGTAAAATGTTATAAATCGTAAATTTGATACGCTACATTTTACACCAGCATTCGCACAGTCAAGTCGACTGCCAATATTGACGCACCCTTTTCACGAAATCTTCTTCCATCAATGTCATTTTCGGACGCCCCAATCATTTATCGTTTTCTAAATCTTTCCTACCGTTTCTAAATCTCGCGAACCACTCAAAAACTCGTGCACGGGATAAACAATCGTCGTCGTAAACTTGTTTCGACATTTCATAGGTTTGCGTCGGAGTTTTACCGAGTTTAAAACAGAACTTGATATTGGCTCGTTGCTCCGAGCTTTTATTTTCGTGACGAGGTGCACTGTCATTCCGACCGCTATAATTCATATAAAATATGTTTGATACTTATGAAATAACAATGAGAGACTGTTAAAATAAGTATAAAGCTAAATGTAATTAATTTATTCTTAATAGGCAGCGTTTATACAAAAAATAAACCCCGATATTTTTCAAGCTATGCATATAATAATATCAATATTATAGAGTAGTGCGCGGATAATGCATCGCTGTTCAAAATTCGCCAGAAGGATTAACCGGTAGATAAAATTGTTTGTTTAGGCTGTCCCTTCGGTTGATCCTCTGGCTACTCCTCAAGAGACGAGAGAGACTGTGCAACATAAAACGGCCTTCTCACTCAGGTGCTAAGAACAATGTAGTAGATCCTAGGTTAATGGTATCCCCAAAGCGTGGGAAATATATCTACCCGAAAACGAAAATCCGGGAATCGGGAAAAGATGAGCGGTTGGACATGGGAATCTCAAGGGGATGAATTTTATGGATTAACCGAAATTGAAATGCGTTATCATTACTGTATTCGCTTGTGAACATAAACAGATGTGTTATATAATTGTATACGTTTGAGAATCTTTTTTTCTCTCTTTTAAGAAATAATCTTTGAGATAAAACCATATAAACGCGTGGACACGATTGGAAGTACAACGTGTCGCAACAGAAAGATATTGTATTTCCCGTTGAAGTTTTTACTACAAAGTACATGCATTTAAATTATACTAAAGCAGACAAGCAATCCGAGAGTAAGGATTACTTTCGCAAGAATATCCAATAAGTTTATGCAAAGACTGATTTATTCATCCCACAATTCTACTTACGGATAAATGTTCCAATTTATTAGTATTACAAGAGAGAATCGTACTGTATAAAAAATTGATTATCTTTCGGTAAAAATTGATATTAAATGTACTTTCAAAAAATTATGAAATCAAGACTCTTTTTAATTAGAAATTTTGCAAAACTCAGAAATACAAAATCCAAACATACAGATGAGTACTTTTAGTTGTAATAATATCATGAATCGAGATATTATGATAAAATCGCGAAATTTTCTAAGATATCGCGTTAGAATGACAATCAATATATGCAAGTTCATATCTTTACACTTTTATCTAGCTATATGTACAATAAGTTTATAAAAATAAAATTAAAAATAATTACAACATATAGTAGATAATTCAGTATTGTTTTTCAGTCCGCATTAACATGTTTGCGAGCGTACTGATATACTCGTACCTATGGCTACTCAGCGCTGCTCTTTAAAAGTAGTCCATCAGAGCACCAGAGTAAGTTTACGTTTCTCCGTCAACATGGCGGGTTAAAGTTTACGGAAGCCAGATGGGCGCGCTGTTAGAACGGTGCTTTCGGCTTAACGTAGTTTACTATCAAACACAATATGCAGTTATTTTAATGATTTATCACTAAACGCATACCGATCTTTCAGTTTAACAGTAAATTGGCTAAAGGCATTAGTGCGCCCTTTCTCCGTTATTTTTTTTTTGTGTTCGATTGACCTTGCTCGTCTGCACTTCGATTATTACGATCATACACGAATGATAAGTGATCAAAAGTTACTTGCCATTGATGCAGTGCATGCCAGCAATATTTGTTAATAATTAAGTACTTCCTTAAACACTTAGTGCGCATTAAAGGTAGCCTGTCAAATACGCCATGTACAACATTATTTCTGTAATTCCAAGATCTTGGCCTAGTAAAGCCGTAAAAGTAGTTTAACAACCCTTTAGACGACATCTGACTCGACGAAACCTCTCATCATAACGTCAGGCATGTCATTCTGCGTGATATCCCCAGCTTTAAAAGCGAGATATATCGAACGGTTCGTATAGCCGCATCGACGCGAAGGGAATACATGTAGCTTGCCAATAATTTTTGCTTGGAAGTATCTTGAAGTTGATATGTAAGCGACGTTGATTTATATCGAACGAAAGGTTTTGTTCTTCCTTTGAACTAGTTAGATAAAGTATATTTAGAATTAACTTTTTTCTCATATATTTACAGATATTATATAATTAAATACTTTTATTCAATCAAATGATGCGAGAGCCGAATATATAAAAACGTTTAATCATGCGATTGTATTCACAATATGAAAGTTGTAGCGTTTCTAAGTGATTATCTAAATTTTTTTTATTTTACCACGTTTCATTGCATACAACTTTACGCTAATTACCGATGTTTCTTATGTTGCAGTCAAATGGAATGAAGTATTACATATTACTATGCGTCGTTGAAGAACATACCAGGAAGTTGCACACTGTTCAGCATGCAGTGAGTAAAACTACATAAAGTATTCGATCAGCGTTCGCTTTTATCAAGAACTCACCGTAACATTTGCGCATCGTACAATGTGTTATCCAAATTTTCGGTACGCCGCTAATGTGCGTATGTACGAAAATACGAACGGCCGGGTGCATACAGATGCGCGCTACGTGATCGAAATTTCGTACGGCCTGGTAATCAATGCGAAAGCGACTAATCAGTTACCACGCGCACGCGACGCGCAAATTATCGCGTCTAGAGTGACGCAAATTGCCGTAGTTGGGGAAGGGTCGAATAAAAATAATGTGTTCTACCGACGGGATAATAAAGAAGGGCAGCGCCATAACTTTGTTAAATCTGTGAATTCTATTAAAATTCACGACGCGAAATTAGTACATTACGACTTACAAATTTATGAAATACGAGGTAATAAAAATAAATGTGTCTACAATGTTTGCACTTTTTCTCTTTCTCTCTCTTTTATACTGCGCGCAATTTCATGTGACTAATGTTCAAATGCGAATCTGTCCAATCAAGCTGAACGGGTGAACAGCCATTCGCGATTAATACAAACGATTCTTCCGCAATCGACTGTAACGCGCTTTGCGTGTTATTATCTTGATTGTTGATTTCATTAATGCATCGTGTACTTACAACGTTAATATGTACGCGACGGGAATATTTATGCGTATATACATACGTATATACATATACGTATGTATAAATATTTACAAGTGTGTTTGCAATCATTTCACTCGTGTACTTATGCATCGCCGCGTGTTCGCGGGTAACGCTTGATTGATTGCACCTGAACCTGCCGCTAATTACTCGACGTAACATTTCGATTACCACACGCAACCGGTTAACTACACCGATGTTTCAACTGATTAATATCAGTACACTTAGATTAATGTACGAAGAGAATGGCAACAATGCAGACCATTGAGTGTGATTAATTACCGTAGAAGATAATGGCGTTTTTTGTAACTTCTTCTAATATTACCAACGTGCGCGACATGTTTTCACATGTTGTATTAAAATATCTCGTCGATAACATTAGTAATTGTGGAATACTGGATGCAATTTTTGAAATTGTCGCGGAATATTGAGAAACCCTCTTGCAACACACACACGATCGTAGAAACCGATTAAGCTAATTGTCGGTCCTATTAACGCACGTGTACTCGTATCTGTAATGTTATACATCCGGTGACTCTATCTAGATGCATACTGCACGTGCGCAGCGTGATTCTGCATCTACATCAGCAGGCATCAATAATTCTAACGCTATCACGGTTCCAATCTATGCGAGGAACGAATCATAAAATAATCACGATCCATTACACACGACTCAATTAAGATGCGCGTTATGTTTCGCGTCGTCTACGGTGATATGTGCTAACGCAATAATATAATCGTTCGAATTGCAACAATTAGCTGGATCGCGCGGTATTAATTTAATATTAAATTAAAATAGAATCACAGCGATTCGTCAGCAATTTTCCGTACACCGCGAACGACGTGAATCGAAAATACCTTCCGTGTCATGCGGCATGAATCGAAAATACCTTCCCTGCAATCGACCGCGACGATTATCCGGCCATTACCTTAATTGCCGGCGCCGCTTAATGCGCGTATCCACGCGCGTATAGTTATTCGGATGGCCAACGCTCCACGCACCGGTCACCATATCCGGTATCGGTCTTGCACATCGGCGTTCGCCGTTGGTTTGGCTTCACCATCCCCGGGGAGGCGTAGCTCTCGCGAGTGTCAGGTCGAATTGCCCGGGCCAACAGGAACCCGGCGAGTTAAACGAGCAGAGATCCGTACTGGGACATCTACACGAACGCGATTGCGTAGAGAAGAGAACGAGAACTTTGTCTATAATCCGCAAATAGGGATTGTAACCGGAACACGAATCTCGTATCCAAAACGTGAGTTGCGTGAATGAGATAACAGCTACTGTCGCCTAAATTCAGGACTGTGAGAATTCTGATAAACAAGATGCATCCGATTCCTATCTCGCGACAAGACATAGTTGATAGAAATTGACATTTAAATAACTTTTATTAATATATAATAAGTTTACATGCGGTGTACATTTTCCAAAATTATTTGAAATTATTTTGCACATATATTTGTGCACTTTGCAGAATTGCAAATGCAGAATTTAGTATCACTAATTAGAAAGTCGTTATATTACGTATAAAAATATTAAAATAATGTTATCAAAAGAGGAATGCTTTACGAAATATTCCATATTTTATGTCAAAAAATATTACGATAAAATATGTAGAAATCTCAGAAAGTTTCTAATGAAAAAACATCCAGCGTTGCAAAAATACACAATAAAGAATAAGAAAAATTTAAAGTAACTTTTATGTGATCTTGACAATGCTACCCATTTTTTAAAATTATCTCTTTTACATCAATATTTTCATTTCATCTATCACTTAAAAAATTTTATAACTTTTGTATTTAACATTTCTCTCCAAAATACTTAGTGTTTGAGATATTTAAAAAATCCGAGATTTCTTCTACACTCTGTTTGTTAAATAGTCAGTGTAATTTGCAAAATGAGAGTAACAAGATTATATAAAAATTAAATAAAAATTACACAACATAAAAAATTTAATAAAAGCTATAAATTTTATACATATTGTAAAATTATATATCACGGAGAATGAGTTTGCATCTCTCTATGAGTTTAAATCTCTCATATAAAATCTGTATGTACCTATGTACTATAATATGCTGTAATATTTAATAAAAGCTTAAAATGCAATTTGTCTTGAATTTTGTAATAAAATTTACAATTGTAGAAGATATGCAGTAAATACGCAAAATGACTTTCAACTTTTATTACTATCAAAAATTATTCTGTGATTATTATGTGATTTTTCATTAAAAACAATATCTTTATTCCATGTTTAATTATTACTAAAACAAATTATTCTGGAAAATACAAAGAAATAAAGCAAATTTTACTAAAATGGCAAAAATTAATTGCTAAATGTTATTCCATTTGCAAGCTCACTACACATATAGACAACATTTGAACATTTGGATACCTCGCATTAATAATTGGCAAGTGTGATTAGATCAGATGCTTTGCCAGTAGAATTTACGCCAAGTATATCGCGTAGCGGTAACCAGGATCCGATTAGAAATTCCTGAAGGGTTATCCGCGAGTATGCCCGACCTGTAGAAAGGCATCTAATCGAATATGGTTGTGGCTTACGCGTAAATTATGCACTCCGACGCATACTACGCGTCGCATCGCTCGTCCATTATCGGGAACGCGCGACAACGAGCTACATGGTAAGATGCCAAGGCATGCAATAATATCACCGATGTGCAATAATATTGCCTTCAGAGATCGGTATACTTAATACCGTAACTCATTTTTTTCATAATCGCTGCAGTATTATTGTAGTACTATTATATTCAAAAAAAATTAGCGCTTTCTTTGTAAAAATTATTTTAAACACGAAATTGATTGAAATATAAGTAATACTAAAATATCACTTTGAATTATATAACAAAACAAAAGACCATAATATATTGCAAATGATTGATACGCTATATGTTTAATTCTAATAAATTATTGTAAACAATATACATAGCCTGTCAATTATCTGAAATCTGTTAATTATCCAAATAATAGCATTGTGATTTTATTCATACAAAATGTATATATAATAAATATAAAATTTGTCAACGGATAAAAAACTTATTTTATTCAAGAATATCGTATTTACTTCTAATTTGATATATAAAAATATTCTATTCAAAAATTATTATTTTATTTCAATTTATTTTAACATTATATTTTTACAAAAATAAGGATTGTATTGATTTATCCATTAAATTTAAATAAAACGTATTTCTCTTCTTTGCGGTATCGACTGCGGTATCGTCGCGACTGATATCCGCTCTGATCAAAATTTAACGAGTCCCATCGTGCGGAGAGCTCATCTTTTATTGAACACTGTCAGTATATATAATACTCAGCATTAGTAAAGTAGCATATTATATGAATGAGACAATGCGAAGCGAATGGATTCGCCACATATCACAAGTGTCAATAAATGAGGACATTGCAAAAAAAAGCGAGCAGGCTTGTTACAATAACTGCACTTTTATTAAATTTGAACTACAAAAGAAGTAGATCAAAGACAATTCGACCTGGGTGGCGTTGACATTGATAGGCATTGAGCGTGGGTTATTGCGAGATGCGCTAGGTAATAATAACACTAACCTCATGTGTCATCGTTAACCAATCACAATGACATTATCTTTATAGCAGTTGCAATACAAAGAGAAAAAGACAATCGCGAACGATCGAAGATTATTATTTGAGCGAACAATGTGTTCCACAAAGCGTGTAAACAGATTTTCCATAAAAGACCTATCCGAGCCAAGGACGAGTCTGCGACTTAAGAGCACCCACATATATTTACATGGTTTTACGTGGTAAACTATAAATTGGAATTAAAACCAGAGCACGAGGTGTGTGCAGCCGAGCGAGTTTTGGAAGCTTTCCAGAAGCGCCGCGTTATTGACGCTGCGGATCGAGTGAAATGCGGGACGCAGAAAAGTGCGGTTGCACATACGGTAGCGCAGGATGGAATCAAAATTTTGTCCAAACTTGTTAAAAATAGATAAATAAAAAAAAAAGAAGAGAGGAAAAAAGCGGGCAACGCAGACCGTATACTGCACCGATTCCGATGCGTACGCAGGTGCGACATAGTGCGGCGCTTAGCTCGAATGTGGTGTGCCATTACGTTGCGAGTTTATGGCGCTGTCTCGGTGTAACCGCCATATCCCGACTACTTCGCTAAAACGACAGAAAAATATAACCCAGTACGTCGTTATAATTAGTCCCCCATTACGCTTAACGTCCATTAATGTCGCGTAGTTTCGAAACGCCGCGACATATATGGATGGTGTGCGACGGACGGGCGGGGTTTCTATGTGAGAGGCACGCAAGCGTGAAATTTCGTCGA